TGGATGGAAAGGAAGTATGGAATAGTGAGTGACTAGAGAGCAGGTTCCTTAGACCCAGGAATACCTAGGTTCAAATCCCACCTCTGACACATACTGAGTGTGTGACCCTGGCCAAGTCACTTAACCTCCGTTGTGCCTGAGTTTCCTGATCTGTAAAATGGGGATAATAATAGCATCTACTTCCCAGGGTTGTGATGAAAATCAAATGAGACGATATCAAGTAGAGCTTTGTGAATCTTAAAGAGCTATAGTAGTAGCCATTACTATTATTAATGACAATAATAATGAATTGCAGAATAGGTGTCAATCAATTTACATTGATAAAGGGAGTACATCACTAGGAACTGCCTATCCTGATGAAATCATAGACCCTGTCCAAAAAAGGGGGGGGACACATGTGAACGGGCCTCAGTTCATAGTGTCTTTATGCACCCTTCCTTACTGAGGACTCTAATGGATATTTGGGGAGGAGGAGGGGACAATGAATTATTTAAATGCGAAATATTAAAATTCTTTTGTCATTGGGCCACTTGAGAGCATCAAACAAGCCATTATTGGATTTCTGTAGGGCAGCAAAAAAGAAAAATCTTCTCAGCTTGAAAATAAGACGAAGTCCTGTCTCAGCAAATCAGGAACCGTCCAGCTGCTTTCAGCCGTCAGCTCTTAAAGCCATCCTCGTAGATCTGTTTTCAGACATTTGGAATTCATTGTTTACCCAGTTTCCAGGTACCCAGTTTGCCCAGTTTGCCGTATCATCGCCTTGTTCAAGTGGTCTAATTTTACCAAGTGTCTCAGCAAGATAGACCAAGAAGATAGACCAAGATGCTTCAGCTATATCTGATGTCCAGAATCTAAAAAAAGATGACACTGACTGTCCTAAAGGAGGACAGACAGGACAGGAGCTGGCAGGGGAAAGGACTCCCCTTGCTGGAGCCAAGCACAGGGGACAGATTGAAACTTAGATGACGACTAGCCATCACACAGGCCAGGGAAGCTGCAGAATGGAGAGGTTCCCAGAGGAAAAGGCAACGAGGTGTCCTTTTCTGGGGCTAGGGGGAATGACTCTGCCCTTTTAAGACATGCTGGGAATGGAGCCTGGGCCTGAGAAGGTAAGAGAGGAGAGGAGGAACCTAAGAAGGGCTAGGGGAAGGGGAACTAGGGAAGACATAGAGGGTTTTGTGAGAACAGGCCTTCTGAGGACAAGAAGCATCTAGGGACGAAAACGAGGCCCTGAGAAGGGAGGCCCAGCCCTGAGACAAGGGAAATGTGGTCTAAAGTTCTAGCCTGAGACTCAGTAGACCTGGAGGTCCTCAGCTTTGCACCAGTTCTGTGGCTTTGGGCATCACTACTTTGGCCTCAGTTTCCCATTTTAGGGTCATAGGATTTAGACTTGGAATCTGCCTCAGAAATGATCTCATCCAAGCCCCTCATTTTACAAGGGGTCACTTAGTCATAGAGAAGTGAATCTTCCCCACCCCCACCCCCATGTCTCATAGGTAGGAGGTCGCAGGGCCAGACTGGAACCGAGCCTCCTTGATACCATAGCCAGCAGTGCCCCTTAACTGGTCGTCTGTAAAATGGAAAAGTAGATTAGATGACCTTGAAGGGTCATTCAGACTCCAGATTTCCCTGAGTCTGGGATTGTATGAGATCAGGACTGGAATAAAGGGAAGCAGGACTATGCCCACTTCCCCTTTAGGCTCTATTGCTTCCAGAGCTTTAGTGAAAGCCCCAATATGCCACTTAAAATAGGTCAGTTACCGGGACCTAGCAAAAAGGGAGGTGGGGGAGGGAAATGACCTAAAGAAAGCTGGCCTGGAACCCAGGGCATGGCCCTTCACAACTAGGAAGGAGGGCATATTTCCCGAGAGACTTGTGGCCTTGAAATTCATGTTCATTCTTTCTCTTCTCACATCCCTTTAAGAAAGCTGGTTCTCATAGGATACTGTTGCCATTTGACTAGCATCTATGCCCAAGGACACTACCCCATGAGGAAAGCAGAGCCAGCCAGTGGAGGAGGCTCATACATCCATGTAATGTCACCAAAGGGGTCCCCAAAAGGTCCTTGTGCCCACTAGCCTTCCAGGGAATCATTCCCATGAGGATAGGCATTGAAATCCATCCCTTGTTCAGCAGAGATTTGGGGATTCACAGAATTTCAACTGATAGCTGAGAGAGACTTTAGAGAACTATGCACAGGGCAGTTAGGTGGCACAGAGGATAGGGTACTGGCCCTAGAGCAAGGAGGATCTGAGTTCAAAACCCAGCCTCAGACACTTGCCACTTACTAGCTATGTGACCCTGGGCAAGTCACTTAACCCTGATGGCTTGAAAAAAAAGGCAGTTAGGTGGTACAATGGATGGAGCACGGGGCTTGGAATCAGGAAGAACTCAGTTTAAATCCGGTAGCACATACTTATTAGCAGTCTCATCCTTGGCAAGTTATGTTAAACAAGAGAGAGGTTAACTTTCTCAGCCTTAATTTCCTCATCAGTATATAGAGGTAGACTCAGGGGCCTCTAAGGTCCTTTCCAGCCCTAAATCTATGGTCAGTGTGGTGCATTAGACTCAGCCCTGGACCTGGAGTCAAGAAGACCCAAGTTCAAATTCTGCTTCAGACACACTGGGAAGGGCATTGTTTTTCTGGGCCTTACTGTTTCTTTATCTCTAAAATGAGGGTGTTAGACTGAATAATCTCTAAGGTCCTTTCCTGCTCTAAGTCTATGATCCTAGGAATTCTTTCTACAACACCCCCAAGATGGGGGACACGCGGCCATCATCCCTCAAAGACTTTCAGTGATAGGGAAGTCCTTCCCTCCCAAGACAACCCGTTCCACCTTTGGACAGATCTAATTGTTAGAGAGGGCAGCCAGATGGTGCAATGGATGGAGCTCTGGGCCTGGAGTCAGGAAGACTCATCTTCCTAGGTTAAAATCCAGCCTCAGGCACGTATCGTGTGACCCTGGGCAAGTCATTTAACCCTGTTTGCCTCAGTTTCCTCATCCATAAAATGAGCTGGAGAAGAAAATGGCAAACCACTCTGGTATCTTTGCCAAGAAAACCCTAAATGGGGTCATGAAGAGTCGGACATGAATGAAAAACAACTGAACAACAGGGAGATAAGAAATGTCCATGTGTGTGTACATATACATGTATGTGTGCATATGTATCTATCTATCTATCTATCTATATATATATATATATAAGTCTTACCAGGGGATGATGGACTCAGAGGGTATTATATGTGTGTGTACAGTTACATACATAGTTATATTTATATGTGTGTGTATATACATATATACACATATATATGACATGGCTAATGTGGCAATCTGTTTTGCTTGACTACACATATTTGTAATGGATATTATTTTTCCTGCTTTCTCAGTGGGTGGGGTTGATGTGAAAGAATTTGAAACTGAAAATAAAATAAAATTGCATTTAAAAAAATTTCTGTTATTGCAAATTTAACAGCCACCTTCAAAGACTAATAACGAAATGAAATAGATATCCCAAGGAATAAAACCCTAAGTACTTAATAAAGTAAAACCAGACAAATCTTACCTCTTAGTGCTTACCTATGTGACCTTGGGGTAGTTACTTCCCATGCCTGGGCTTTAGTTTCCTCAAAAACGTAAAATGAGGAGATTGGACTAAATAATCTCTGGAGTCCTTTCCCGCTCCACATCTATGAGCCTATGGCCTTACTTAAATTAACAGACAGAGGGCAGCTAGGTGGCATAGTGGACAGAGTACCAGCCCTGGAGTCAGGAGGACCTGAGTTCAAATCCAGCCTCAAATGCTTGACACTTACTAGCTGTGTGACCCTGGGTAAATCACTCAACCCAGATTGCCTCACCCCCCCAAAAAAAATTAGTTAATTAACAAACATCAAACAACTAAAAAATATGTTTGCTCTGTGTTCCAGCTCTGAGGCGTAAAGTTCTGCTACCTGTCTCTTTGTGTTCTGCTCCCTGGGCTCTCCAAGTCACTTCCAGAGATGCTCAAGCTCCAACAGGTCCTAACAGGCTGAAAAGGCTTCAAAGACTGGCTCAGGGGTGGATTATGCTACACAGTTGTTTTCCAAGGGCCTGCCTTGCCTAAAGCAGAAAGGTTCATCACCAGAATGTAGGCCACCAGGGGAGGAATTTTTTTGACACAGCAAGTCACGCAGATAGATAATCTATCAGGACACAGCATAACATAGTGGAGAAATACTATGCCTAGTGTGACCACAAGTGAAATCTTGTGGGACCCAAGTTCGAATCCTGACTCTGCTATTTAGTGCCTATGTGACCATTTAATCTCCCAGGGGCTCACTTTTTTCATCTGTAAAACTAATTACTCTCTGAAGTCCCTTCCAGCTCTAAGATAGTGTAATTTTATAAGTTCCAGTCAATGGAGGGAAGCACCCACACTGAAGAAAGAGCATCCTAGTTCGTAGGATTATAACTCTAGCACTAGAAGGGACCACAGAGGCCATTTAGTTCAACTTTCTCATTTTACAAATGGGGAAACTGAGGCTCAGAGAGGTTAAGCCACTTGCCCAAGGTCACATGGATAGGATGTGAACCTAAGTTCTCTGACTCCAGAGTCAGCATTCTTTCCACCATTCCATGCTTCTTCCCCATAGATTGTAGACAATAACTCATTAAGTCAGAACTGGAAAAACCTTAGAGGTCAAAGTATCTTAAATTTTGATCTCAAGGGTCCTCTGAGATCATCTACACCAAAGGTGTCAAATATACCCCATGGAGGTCAGCAATACACCCAGGGCTTCCTGAACCAGGTTAAAATGTAATTGGGAAATATTTAACAAAATAAATAAAAATCCAGTAGAACCTGGATAATGGCAATCTGTGGTTTTCTAAGTCAATTTGCAGCCCACAGTTTAGTGGCCTCCTTTCTATTTGAGTTTCACACCACTGCTCTACTCCAACCCTCTCATTTTTTAGAGATGAGCAAATAGAGGCTTCAGGAAGTAAAATAAGGTCGGTTACCTGGTTATTAAGTGTTAGTGGCAGGATTCAAACACAGGTTTTTCAATTCCAAATTCAGTGCTCTTACCCCTGGATCATGCTGGAAGAGTAAAGGAAGTCTCTGAGTTTTTGAAAAATCAGCCTCAGCTCAATTGCCTGTCCTTTTGTCCCATTCTGAGAAGATTTTGGGAAAGCCAGATGCAGGACCCGACCTACCTTTCCCATTTTATTGCACTTAACTCCCCTACATGCACAGTGACTCAGCTAAACTGACCTTCCCACTATTCTTCATCCCTCTTTATCTCCTGTCTGCATGCCTCTGTGCTGACTTAAAATGAGGAACTCTTCCCTCCTAATGTTAGTCTCAGAACCCCTCATTCCCTTCAAGACTTAGCTTAAATGCCACCTTCTATAGGAAGCTTTTCCTGATCCTCTATTCCACCTTCACCAAAAAATCGACTTCTATCTATCTGCACCACATATGCATATATATATACACAAATATATAATACTTATGTAATGAGGAACCATTCCCACCCTGAGCTAACATAATTCACAAGTACATGGGGACTCTAGTGGAGGACGGGCAGACAAAAACGACCACTTAGCCCAGGCCTTACGAGCATGAGCAGAATACTTACCTTATACAATCCCCATGGGGATTTTAGAGCACGTGTAGCTGGTTCAGATCTTCTAGAATGTGGGGTTTGCATCAGTCAAGCAATCTAGCCTCATTCTCCCGGAGCAAATCAGGCTACATCTCCCTGGGTTTCTGGGCTAGACCTAAGAGGTTAAAGTTTTTCTCTAATGCTATTAACTTAAGCCTCCAATCCAGTGTGGTTAGCTGCCAGTGAGTAGAATTCCAGTTCCACTGAACCAGTGAACATCAATTAGCTTTTACAAAGGCTATTTACCTCAAAGCAAAAACAAGAACTGAAGTATAAATAATCCTCTTCTCCCTAACCCTTTGAAAACACATTTTTCCCTATATTATCTTGGTCTCTGGGGAGGAGGGTTCAGGAGTTTCTACATAGCGTTGGCCCTACTAAGTTCACCAAGTTCAAATGCAGCAGTCAGTCAGGTTCTCCTGGTTCTGTTCATTTCACTTTGCATCAGTTCATATAAATCTTCCCAGGTTTTTTAAAACTATCCCCCTTGTCATTTCTTATGGCACAATAATGTTTCATTTTAAAGACTGCTGAGTCACTGGCTCTTCTGGTTCAGGGGCCAGTCTGCTTTGACAAAGTCTCTTCATCCCACCCCATGCCTACCTTCACCCCACCTCATTCCCCCCACTACAGGGACCAAGGGAATCACCAAGGGGTTTACTTGCTGTGTTACCCAAAGCACAAATCCTTCAGGGAGGAGCCAGAACAGAGCACATGGTGTCACTAGATGTGTCAGGCTGAACTCAATGGGAAATGCCCAAGCTAGAACACATTTATGATTGGAAGTAGCCAGGGAACAGATCTATTTCTACACCTACTCCAGGGAGTATGCTCCAATATAACTTCCTGCTCTTAGAGTCAGGAAGACCTGAATTCAAATCCAACCTCAGACATTTGCTAGCTATATGACACTGGGCAAGTTATGCTAGTTCATGGTAAGAGAGGACCAGTCACCATTACACCTGTATATATGTACGTGTTGTCTCTCCTGGTAAGACTGGAAGCTCTTGAGGGCAAGGACTATTTTCCTTTTTGTTTTTGCATCTCCCATTACCAGCACATTGCATAGCACTTAGTAGATGTTCAGTAAATGTTTGTTGATTAACTGACAAGTAACAGCTCCTTCTTGGCCTTACCTGAGTGGTCCTTTTTTCCTCCTCTTGATACTTCTACAGACTCCTTAGAACCAAATCTCTAACTCCTTTCACAATCCCTTTTCTGTCCCCATTTGAGTCCTGGAAACCCCTCAGAAAAGATGCCACCTCATCAGCCCCAGCCCCAACCCAGAGTCGTCCGAACAGTTGGAATTAATCTCCCAGAATTAAGAAACCAAGTGATCTGGGGAACCAGAGACCATTGTTCCATGCACTTTCCGCTGCCCTGGGCTCCTGAAAGAAGGGATTGTTTATGGGAGGGCAAAGCAAACTCCATTGCAAAGAAGGGTGGGAACCTGAAGGCCCCAGTCTGCCCTTCCTGCCTGTGGGTTGGTGTTTTGTTGTGTGTTTTTTTTCCTTTTTTTTTTCAGGGAAGCAATGACGTTACTACCTCAGGAAGGAACAGCGTGTTCCTGGAGGGAGCTGTATACATTCCATTCATAGCTAAGCCTGCATCCTGCACGTCCTTACCTCCTGAACCCCCTCCCCTGTGGCTGACCCATTCTGGCCCATAGGACCATTCTCAGGGAGAGGTCCCAGGGGCAGCTGGTCTTACATTCCTTTTTCTTTCCTTTTTTTTGTCTTTTTTTTTTAAGTAGTGATCTCTAGATTTGGGGCCCTCTTGGAAAGGAGGCAAAGCTACAGACAATGGAATAACTCTATAGTAAAATGCAGCTGAGCCCTGAACTAGTTATCAGCAGATTTGGGTTCAAATCAAGATATGTCCTATTTGACCTTGGGGCAAATCACTGCCCCTCTCAAGGCCTTAGTTCATTGCTCTACAAAACACGGAAGTTGAGCTCCATTCCCTTCCAGCTCTTATGCTGATTCTATGAGAAGAGGACTTTACAAAAGTAGAGGATTTGGAGCTAGAAAAGGACAAAAACAAACCGCCAGCAAGTGCCTTCATTTTATGCATGAGGAAACTCAGGAGCAGAGAACTGAAATGATTTGCTTAAGATCACACCAGTATTCATTGATAAATGGCAAAGCCGGGATTTGAACCCAGGCCTTCAGACTACAAATCTAGTACTTTTCCCACTATCTCGTGCTGTGTCAAAGTTGAGAGAATAATAACTAAAAGGAGCCAAGGGCATAGAAAGAAACAGGAAATAATTCGTGTTCATTCATCTGGAAAACAGGCTCTGAAGCAAAATGGAGACAGGGCAAGGATGGGCAGCTTCAGCATGAGCTTGTCCATCAAATCCCCCAAATAAACTGTTATCCCCTTGAAAGAGCTAGCAGGGTATTTGGAGGTCATTTATCCCCAGTCTCCCTCACTTTATTCGTGTTTTCCTCTGTTAATAAGTTTTTTGGTCCACACCTGCCTGTCATCGATTTAGGGTACTCCCCGTGGATAAACTCTATGAACCGCAACGAATCAGCGACTTTTCCACACTTTATAGTCTTGGAGAATTTCCTGGACACTGAAGACATGAAGTGACTTGCCTAGGGTCACACAGTCAGCATGTGTCAGGGCAGGACTTGAACCCAGATATTTCCAATTCCAAGCCGCTCAACCTCTCTGGGCCTCAGTTTCTTCGGAGGGTGATGCTCTATCCACTGTCGCTAAGCCACGTTGCCTCTCAATAGCTTCAGTTTGGAGGGGGAGACAGAGGGACAAGCATTTATTAAGTACTTACTGTATCAGGCCCTGTGCTAAACATTTCACAAATGTTTTCTCCTCTGACCTCATTTGTTCCTCAAAATGACCATGGGAGGTAGGTGCTATTATTATTCTCATTTTACAGATGAGGAAATTGAGGCAGACCATGAATTATTTGCCCAGGGTCACATAGCTAGCAAATGTCTGAGGCTGGATTTGAACTCAGGTCCTCTTGACTTTCAAGAGCAGGGGGTTGTATTGGAGTGTACTCCCTGGAGTATATATGGAGATAGGTCTGTTTCCTGGCTGGTTCCAATCACACATGTGTTCTAGTTCAGGCATTTCCCATTGAGTTAAGTCTTCAGCCTGCCACATCTAGTGACACCATGTGCTCTGTTCTGGCTCCTCCCTGAAGGATTTGTGCTTTGGGTAACACAGCAAGTAAGCCCCTTGGTGGTTCCTTTGGTCCCTGTAGTAGGGAGAATGGGGTGGGGTGAAGGTAGGCATGGGGTGGGATGAAGAGACTTTGTCACAGCAGACTGGCCCCTGAACCAGGAGAGTCAGTGACTCAGCAGTCTTTAAAACAGGGGTTCTTCAAGTTGCGGTAGATGGTTGTGATGAAACATTATTGTGCCATAAGAAATGATGAGGGGGATAGTTTTAGAAAAACCTGGGAAGACTTATATGAACTGATACAAAGTGAAGTGAGCAGAATCAGGAAAACATTGTACACAGTAACAACATTGTAACAATGATCAGCTGTGAAAGACTTTGCTACTCTGATCAATACAACGATCCAAACCAATTCCAAAGGACCCCTGATGAAAAATGCTATTCACCCCCCAGAAGGAGAACTGATGATATCGGAGTACAGATTGAAGCATAAATGTTTTTACTTTATTTTTCTTGCTTTTTTTCTCCCATAATATGGCTAATGTGAAGATACGTTTTGCATGACTTCTTGTGTATAATGAGTATCTCAGTCATATTTTTTGCCTTCTCAATGGGTGGGGGAAGGAATGGAGTGGGAGAGAGAATTTGGAACTGAAACTACAAATTAAAAAAAAATTTTAAACAGGGGTTCTTAAACCTAGGGTCCATAGACCCCCTCCTCCCCACCAAGGGGTCTGTGAACAGATTTCATGGGACCCATGAATTTGAATGGGGGAAAAATTACATTTTTATCTTAACATAATTTATTTCCTTTTGTACACCTATGTGTTTTATTTTATGCATTTAAAAACATTATCCTAAGAAGAGATCTATAGGCTTCCCCAAACTGTCAGAGAGGGCCACGACATGAAAAGTTACTCTACCCTCTTTCATTCTCTCTTCCCACATCTTAAGCCTGTCAAGTATTCTTGAAGTTCCCTTTCACACTTGGAGCAAAATAAGGCTGGGAAGACAAGGGGGTGCAGACAGAGCGAGGAAGGGTAAGGATCTCTCTCCTCTTAAAGACTGTTGAGTAGGTAATGCTTCCCACCTGAGTGGCCAGTCCTCTGCCCTTCCATCATAGTACCAAAAGGGCTTCTTATATTAGCCCCAAACACGAGTTCTTTCACACTAAGCCAGCACACACTTGTCACTGGAAGTGGCCAGGGAACCAGTCCAACTCCCCATATGTTCTGTGGGATAGCTCATCCTGTCCGGGCCCATCCTTACACATGCCCTAACTAACCTCCTCCTCCGCAACACTCCCCCACCCCCATCACAAACATGTGCCTTTTTTGCAGCATTAGAATCATTTCAAGATACCTTCATGCACGCACACACACACACACACACACACACACACACACAGAGTCATGATTGTGTATATTGCTGTCTTGTTCTTCTTTCTTTGCTCCATATCAGTTCATGCATTTTTTCTCATGTTTCTCAGCTCCTTGGATTCATAATTTCTTTCAGTGCAGTAATATTCCCTTATATTCAAGGGTGGGCTGGATCCAGCTTAAACCTCTCTCTCTAGAGCTGATGATTAAATTTTCAATGTATGCAGTTACATGTCAGAGATCAGCAAATGTTACAAATCAGGGCTTGATTCATTCCTTTGTTGACTGTCTAGATTTAAGAAAGTGATAGAGAAAATATTAATAATGCAAATTAAACCTAAAAAGAATGTTTCCTTTTAAAAAAAAAAAAGAGGTCATTGTTATACATTTACTTGAACACCCAATTACATTTATATAGCAGAATTTGTTCAGGGGCAGCTAGGTGGCACAGTGGATAGAGCACCAGCCCTGGATTCAGGAGGACCTGAGTTCAAATCTGGCTTCAGACACATAACACTTACTAGCTGTGTGACCCTGGGCAAGTCACTTAACCCCATTGCCTAAAAAAAAAACAAAACAGAATTTGTTCAGCTATTACCCAATTGATGGACAGCCATTTTGTTTCTAGGTTTCTGAAACCACAAAGACTGCTGCTATGAATATTTTTTAATATATGAGACATTTTTTTTGTTAATGACCTACTTGGGGTATGTGCCCAATAGTGGGAATACAAAGTCAAAGGGTATAAACAGTTTAGTGACTTTTCTTGCATGATTCCAAATTGTTTTCCAGAATGGTTGGACCAATTCACACCTTCATCCATGGTCTGAACACCTATTTTAAATATAAACAAACTGAGGTCCTCAGAGGGGAGATGACTGGCCCAAAGTCATGCAATGAATGAGTGGTAGCTCCAAAGCTAGATGCTTTGATTGCCAAGCCAATGTTCTTTCTGCTATGCCACAATATGCTGCTTTTAGCCAGGGAAGAGCAGACATCTAGGCCATGGAATAGGGTGGGCTTGGTTCCATGTGATATCATGGAAAATGCCCTGGACTTAGAGTTAGAAGAACTGCGTCCAAAGCCTAGCTATGCTACTGACTAATAAGCTGTGTAACTAAATTAGGACCACTCACTCTAGCAATTGGAATGAGGGCTCTGTGAATTTGAGTTTACAAATGAGAAGGAGACTTGACCTATTTCTCCTACCCATTTCAACTCCTACATTTGGTGGCAAATGCCTCTCCAAATGAATGATAATATAATAACCCAGTATCTACTCCAGAGAGAGAGAAGAGAAAAGACCTATACATAGAACTTACACGTCCTAAAAGATATTCTTTATAGTTGTTTAGAGAAAAGAATGAGATCAACATGACTAATACGGAAATATGTTTTACATGATTGCATATATATAACCTATTTCAAATTGCTTACTGTCTTAAGGGAAAGGGAAAGGAGGAAGGAAAGAAGAAAAATTTGGAACTCAAAAGCTTATTTTAAAAAATGAAGGTTAAAAACTGTCGTTACATGTAATTAGAAAAAATAAAATACCATTAAAGAGAAGGAGAAAGAAAGGAGTGAGATGCTGTAGGTCTCCAAATCTGCATTCAGATGGGGGTGGGGGGTGGAATTATAGTGTGGAAGTATGGCAGCTCTGAAGATGAAATAGGACACATTTGACTTGGAGTCAGAAAAATTGACACCGAATCGAACTCCAACTCCCACTCTCACCTTGTGTTCTTCTAAGTTTCCAGTTTCATCAATCATTCTATATATGCTATGATCTTTCGGCCCTTTACCACTCTGGTTCCCCTTCTCTTTATGGAGA